CTTATCGCTTGTTTTTTTTTTGTCTAGTGTTTTCACCGCCCAGGTCGAAGAACAAGGATTTCTTCTTCATCCACGGTTACAGGTATACAATTCTCTTTTAGCCTTGGCATAACGCTTGTTTGATTTTTCTAATTTCATTAATGTCTATGCTAAATAATAAGCATCTACTCTCCATCTAAGGCCATAGGTTTAAAAAATATTTTTAAGTATTATTTTACTATTTATTAATTAATTAATTATTATTTTTTAATTTTACACAGCCAAGGCCAATCGATCCTGGTTTACTGTCCTCTAGGGTAACAAGTATACGTACGCACCTGATTGTTTACTTACTGCTTGTTGTTTCGAGTAATTTTTATTTAGTCAAACTGAATTACCAAAGTTTTGCTATCTACCTAGTGCCCGAAGTATACAGGTCTCATTTAGTACTCACGTATCACTTATTATTTTGTCTAGCTTTTTTATAGTTTAAGCCAGCAATCGGGTTTTTAATCTCCATTAAGGATTAAAGGTATACATGACTATGTGAACCCTTACTTACTAGCTATTATATTTTCTAGTCTTTTTACAGGAAAGGCCCACAATTAATATGAGTTGTCTATCCGGGGGGGACAGGTATAAAAATCTGCCAAAAAATCTACTTACTATATATTTGCATAATGTTTTTACAGCCCAAGCCAACGATCAAAGCTTTGATATTCTTTTGGGCTCACAGGTATAAAAGTCTCTTTGACTTTTTAGGTACTATCAGTTGTTTTGTTCTAACCCTTTCTTCTCCGTAGCAAGCGTTCAATGCTCAGCTCTACATCAAAGGTCGCAGGTATACAAGAATCTTTAAGCAATTTACTAAAAATTAGATTTTCCTAGCGTTTACATAGTCAAGGCGAAATGATCATGTTCTTTCTATCCATTCAAGGTTCTAGGTACACACGCACATTTTAGCATTTATTCTTCACTGGTTGAATCTTTTTAATCTTTGACAGTCCATGCCGAGAATCAAGGTTGCACTTCAAAAAATAGGGTTAAGGTATACATGCCTTTTTAGCATTTACTTACTACTAGTTGCTTTATTCAGACTTTATACAGTCGAGACCAAAGATCAAGAACCCGATTTCCGCATAGATTTACAGGGATACAAGTGGCTTTCTTTACCCATTAACATATTGCTAGCTGCTTGAAGCAGTCTTTTTACAGTTCAATTCAACAGTCAAGGTTCAAATCCCCGTCAAAAATCACTGATATACTGCCACTTTTTAGTATTTACTTACTGCCAATTGTGTTTCTTTAGTCTACTCGCAGAAAAGGCCAACAATCAAGATGCCACTCTCCTTCTTGGATGTTAGGTATACCAGTATCTTTGGGTATTTACCTATTACCAGCTTTAGTTCGGTAGTCTTTTCACAATTGAGGCCAACACCCAAGATTCCATAGTTCATGCAGGGTTACTGGTATATATACCTCTTTGAGCATTTGCTTGGTGTCTGCTATATTTGTCTAGTCTTTTCATAGTCAAGGCTACTAATTGAGATTCCGCTGCTCATCTGGGGTAAAAGGTATATATGCTTTTTTTTTAATAGTTAATCACTGCTTGTTGAAATTGTCTAATAATTTTACAGTCAACGCTGATGATCAAGTTTCTGCTATTCGTTGAGGTAACAGGCGTACACCCTCCTTTGAATATCTTTCTGTCATCCATCATATTTATCTAGTCATACCATAGTCCACACCAAGGATCAAGATTTTAGTCTCCACCCAGGTTCACAGACATTCAAGTATAATTGCCCTTTTAGGACTGCCGACTGCTATTGCCTATTGCTTTTAATATATAGGTCAAGGGATAAATTTCCTACTCTCAACCATGAGCCACAGGTATCACCGTTTATTTTGAGCATTTATTTATTATCGATTATATTTGATTAGTATTTTAAATCCGAGTCCAACGATCAAGCTTCAGCTTTCCGGGAAGGGTTGAAGATATCCATGTATCTTTGATTTTTTTTAATATCGACTGAATTTATCTGGCGTTTGCACATTCAAGTCCATTGATCAAGTCTTTGGTCATTATCAAGTTTTCACTCAACATTATTGGGTAAAGGTATATAAGATTCTTAGATTACTTTTTTACAGCCAATGACATTTATCAAGCGTTTTTAGAGTCCTGGTCAACGATCAAGATCCTGCTATTAATTCAACGTCTTAGATATATAAGTGTATTAAAATATTACTTTACTACTGATTCTATCTATTTAATCTTTTCTTTTTCTTTTTCTTTTTTACATTCTATGCTAGTCCTCACGGCTCTAGTCTCCATCAAGGCTTATAGACATACAAGGTTTTTTTATTGGAATATGTTCTTACTATCAGTTTTAATTTTTCTAGTAATTTCACAGTTCATACCAACGATTAGGCTTCCGATTTCCATCCAGGGCTACAGGCATACATCTTTATTACACCATTTACTTACAGCCTGTTTTATATGTCCAGAATCTTCACAGCTCATGTCAACAGTCACGGTTTTGACCTACATCTCCAATCATAGGTATATATATTTCCGAGAATTTACTTACTATTAGGTGTATTTTTCTAGTGTTTTCATAGTAAAGACCAACGATTAATATTCCGATATTTTCCTACAGTCATAGACATACAAGTCTCTTTGAGCCTTTAGTTACTTTAAGCTGTATATTCCCATACTTTTTACGGCAAAGACCAGCGATCAAGGTTTCACTCTCCATAAAAATCTTCAGGTATACAAAGCTCTTTAAATATTTTCTTACTATCAATTAGATTATTCTAGTGTTTACACAGTCAAAGCCAAACTATAAAGCCTCTGTTGCCCGTCCAGGTTCTCCAGTATATATATATATATTGAGCATCTACTTACTGGTTGTTGTTTTTAGTTATCTTGACATAGTCAAAACCAACGATTAAGGTTCTACCATACATCCAGGGTATGAGATACACGTGTCTCGTTTAGTATTTAGCTATCAACTATTATTTTGTCTAGCTTTTTTTTTTATATTTTAAGCCAACGATCAAGTTTTGAATATTTATTCATGATCACAGGTATATATTTCTTTTTGAACATATACTTATTGTTGGCTTTCTTTTTTTAGTCTATTTACCACCAGGGCGAACGATCAATATTCCGCTGCCCATTTTGGGCTATATGTATACATGACTCTTTAAGCAGTTAATACTTGTCGCTTTTATTTGTCTAGTCTTTTAATCGCCAAGTCCAAAATTTATGGCTCTGCTCTACATCATGGGCCGTAGGTATACAAGTCTCTTTGTGAATCTATTCACTGATGGTTATAAATACTTATAATTTCACAGTTGGTGTCAAAGATCATTGTCTAACTCTTATTCATATGTTACAGGTATACATTGTTTAGTTGCCCATTTTTCTTTGAATGATGCTTGTATTTGCTTATTTTTTTTTCTCTTCGTAGTTTAGGTCAATTATCATGGTTCTATTCTTTATTAAGGATTAAAGACATAGGAGGGGTTTTTAAAATTTTCTCACTGAAAATTGTATTTACTAATTTTTTTTTACAGCCGATACCAGGTATCAGTATTCTACTCTCTATTGTGGGCCACAGCTATATTTGTCTTTTTTTTACTATTTCGACAGTAAAATCCAACGCTAAAAAACTCAATCTCTATCAAGGGTTACAGGTATACCAGTTTCTTTGAATATATTACTACAAATTATTTTTGTATATTATTTTAAACAGATAACCCCAAGGATCAAGATTTCGGGCTCGAGTATCATATACCTGGATATGTATTTGTTTCAATAACTACTTTATGCTGTTTCTATAGGACCTTACGGTCATATTTAATGCTAAACATTAAAACTTTAGTTTTAGGTATGGATTCTAGGTATACAACAATTTTTGACCACTCAGTACTACTTGCTTTATATAAGAAGTATATGTGTAGTTGAAGCCAAATAATTTAAGCTGGTTAAAGATATAAAAGGCTTTTGAGAAATTCACCGACACCTATATCTTTTTTATGTATTTGATATCAAGGATCAAGTAACAAATTTGTGCTCCCCATCATTGTTTAAAGATATACAAGTGTTTTTTAAATTATTTCTTTTATTAATGTGTTAATTTCAGTAGTGTATTTCCAATTGATTTAAAGGATCAAGTTTTTGCCTCCATTATAGACTAAACGTATACAGTGCTATTTGAAAATTTAAATAACGTAATTTGCTTTCGTCTAGTACTCACAGTCAAGACAAGTATCAGGGCTCCACGTTTCCTCATAGGATAGAAGTGAACAAGACTCTCTGAACATTTAATTACTGCCTCTTTTAACTACAACTTGATCTTACCGTACTTACATTTGCTACTTATCCTGTGGCTGCAAGGAATCACATAACACTAGCATAACGTTATCACTTCTCATCATCTATCCCAATTAACAACATTAGCAACTCGGCATACTTTAGCTTATTTGTTAGTTTCGGGTATGTTTAATTCAGCCACTATATTATCCACTGTATTGTATATCGCAGACCTCTGGATATATCCTCATGCTAATATGAGCCACGAAACTGATCCCACTCAATCTCTAATATTCAATCATTATAGCTATCACCATCACTTTTGAGGCTCTAGTACCTAAATCAATAGCGTATTAACAGTTGAAGGTCAGCTATGGATACGTATATGGCTACTCACGGGGTTATCTTCGTCGTCCTCGTCGCCATCCAGGGAATATTCCCTGAACTAGACACCTTATTCGCCATTTATTTAACCTAATAGATCATACATACACTCAATCAGCGTAGCCAATGCCACACACTAGATATCCATATCGAGCGGCCACTTACAACTTATTCTTGATATTGAATTTGTCCTTAATCATATAGCAGTTCCATCTACATTAGACATTATAATATTCGAAGCTAAATCAGCTTTGGCTATTCTCTAGCTTTTTCGCCTTTAAATACATTACCTCCAATACATATTACAAAAAAAAATATTATGAATGGTTTCGTTCTCTGTGCAAATTTTGATATCTTTGTGTTGGTGTTGGTATGCCCAAAAAAAGAATTGAATATAGTGGTTGGCGGTGTCAATCTTGATAGCATTGTGTTGGTGTTGGTACGCCCAAAAAAAAAAAATTAAATATAGTTGTTGTTGGTGTCAATTTTGATAGCGTTTTAAAGTTGATGTTGGTACGTGTCAAAAAAAAAGAAATATGCTATGGTTACTGGTGTTAGTTTTAATAGTATTGTAAAGTTGGTGTCAATCCCAGTAAATTTGTAAAGTCAATGTAGGCATGGAGGTTTGACTGAGGATTCCCGAAAGGGATGAGGTATGTAAAAAGAAGATTCAAGGCATCGTTAGAAAGGATTTTTTTCTTTGTTTTTGTTGCGGCTCAGTAACGGTTATTTTTGATAGACAGTTCTCTCTTAGCAGTATTGCGTAAACACTAGATGGTATTTCAATCTCTGTATGGGTAGTAGTGTCACTGTCGATTGGCCTACTATGTTTCTTTCTCTTATAGGTGGGTACACGTAAGCTGTTAAAAAATATCCAAAAAAAAGGATTGTGACTTCGTCTTCCTCTTAGAATTGTTAAGCTCAATAAAATTTTTGAGGCCCAGCCCCCTTACAAAAAAAAAAGACTTTTGTTTGTAGGAAGTCATAGGCTCTAATTTACCAATGAGCCTCTACACAGTCTACAAGAAGACATAAAAAGCAAACCACCTTATACTCTATATTTTATAATGGTACAGCCAAGATATCGGTGGACAAGCTGGTTTGTGCGTCTATATGTGAAGAAAGACTGGGATGTATACACTGCACATATACACCTTGGAGACAGGTATTTAACCCCCCAAAAAAAAAGAAAAAATGCCCTTATTAATTTAAATTTTCCCATTTTTTTTTTTCTTTTTTACTTCTTTACACCAATTTACTATCATAATTTTAATTAATAAATCTGAAACAAAGACTTCAAGTATGCTATTTAATGGAACAAATAAAAAGTATCCTATGTATTTTTCTTTTCTCTCAAAGGGCAATATAAAATATCATGGTATATATTACACAGCCGTCCATTTTAAGAGTGTCTGTCAAAGTCACTACCCTTTTTTCTTTTACTTCGTATATGCTTTGAGGTTTTATGCGGATATTTTAATTACTACTCAAATTCTGTCTATCGACAAACATATATTAGTTTTTAATCACATCATTTAGTATCTAAACCGCAAAAATGACACACAGAACACAGGTTTATATCAAAGATTATCATAATTTCTTTAGATTATCTTGAAAGTACTCTATACTAAAAGACTGTAGAGCCTGCTACTCGCAATTAAACTACATTTTGGCATACGTATTTTCATTTTATTTTGGAGAAATAGTCCAAATGTCAATACTAATGGGAGTGGGGATTTAGAATGAAAATAATTGACCTTTTTTTTTGTTAATATGAGCAATCAATGCTAAATACTCTTTGAATAGTGGATATTTACATGCCTCATCATATTAATTACACACTTAAAAAGTCTTTGCTTAACCGATTTAGATATATAGTCGATTTTCTGTATTTAATTTGGTATTTTGATGAAAATAATTCTATTTATTAACCAGTTCTTTATATTGATTGTAAATTCAATAATCTGGAAAGCATATAATAGTTATCTGTTTCATTAAGTACGAGAACTAATAAAATAAAATAATGTCTTTCTTGTCAATTAACTGGCCGTAGGTGAAAATCCAACAAGAATTGTTATGTGAAGCCTAAAAAAAGTCATAAAACTACTATTTAGATTCCTTAGCAAAGAACAAACAACATTCTCCATGCTGTCAAATAGGGTTTAAAAGTTAATAATAATTCACACTAAATATTTCATTATAAATTTTATTTTAATACATTATACTACACTATACTATAACATACATTTCTACAGACTCAAGTATGGGTTAAAGAGTAACAATAAACAAAATACTGCGGTTATACCAGCCCGTCCTGTCTGCTATCCCTACAAATTATAGTACGTTAAAGTGCTCTATACACTAACATATGTGAAGAGATAGCTAATGTAAGCAATTCTGATGTATATTATAAATCAAATAGCACGAATAAATGGAGCTATTGTTAAAATAGTCTTGCTCTGTAGTGTTTTACGAACCACAATATCAACAAGTGTACAATCCTCAAACTGTAGATGAAACAGTAGTATTAATCATGACTGACAAATACGACGCTTCTGGGAATATCATCCTGCACATACACACACAAATCAATTTACTCTAGAATATAAACGAATAGCTCTGAATTCGAGATGTTTTATTACATATATTACCATTGTATTTTATTTTATTTCGCTTTACTTTAAAAATATTACTATACAGTTGATGCAGAAGAGTTGCCCATAAAACATGTATGAGCAAGTCGCTGGCACACAGAACAACTTTCCTAAAGTTCCAACACTCAGCATCCAGTTCAACCCCTTTTGATCCCCCTCCTGTATCAGATACACTATTTTTTTACGTGTATAAAAAATGACCGCAGATGGTTAAATGATACAAATGTGAAATACGAATGACTCGCTATCGATTTACTCTGTGCCATATGGCAAGCCATTTACCTCAATGGCCGGAACCAAACATTACTCTATTCCTCATCGATGCTACATCAAAGTTACGTGCTAAAAACTACTGCGTTCATATCCTTCCACAAGTGATCCTGTCAAGAGTGATTCATTCATGTATCTAATATCAAATATAGCAGCTATAAATGGATCCATATACTCTTTCAGTGGATAAACCTGAAGATATTTGTAGTAAATCTACATTTTATTGATATTACTATGTATTTGGGTTTCATAATCCAACACACTCAAGTTTTTCATTTTTCACCTACACTAATAATATCTTGTCTAGCTTTGTCAATTTATCTTACTTTTCTACTTGTATTCATAAAGGGTTTATTTTATTTGCTCAAAACCGTTTAGCTTATCCAAATAGTTTATTATGTCAAAAGACACCAGACCCCAGTACACCTACACAAACATTTTTTTTTACCTAATAGCCTCAACTGTAATGTCTCTGATAATATTGGGCATTGAGTGATTGTTAATGTGCACTAGTTAATCATACCAATGTTCAAATACTATTATGTGTAATTTCAGACATTATCTCTTTATTACTTTTTTTTTCTTTTTAGACATTCACAGCATAAAAATTCTTTGTTTAAATCTATTGAAGTTTAAAAGATCTTGAAAACTCGTTTGGATTTCTCTGATGTCAATTCCATACAAAGATCCTGATGATTTTCTTTTGTGACATCACACAATCGCAGTTCCATTATTTACTACTTTTCTTAGATTCCTCGGAATTTCTGGAAACAAAAAAAGAAAGAAACAACTTGTTATTGCGTGATGGAAGTAGTCGTGCAAATTATTATTATATAAATATAGCTTTTCTGTACATATACAATTCTTGTAATATAGAACACATTAATAAGCTATAGATATCATTTAGAAATACTAAATACAGTAAAATAAATAGGTGAAATCATTGAGAATAAAAATAAAGTAAAATCGGTTTCAGTCGGCATTTATAATAATTTATTTATTTTATTTTTTTCGAAAATTCAATATTTTACCAAAAAATTAAAATTCATAGAATTATACTTTTCTCAACTTCTACTGATTGTATTTGTATGTTTCTTAGCTCTATCCGTAGCTAATAAAGAAGAGTAACAGAAAAGTGGCATTAGAGGCGCATTGTCGGTCTTTAGAATTTTTCGGAGTTTGAAGCATGCTACGATTAGATGGCCGCCGGGATTTGTTCTAGTGGGCAGGTTGGTAGAAAATTAAAATGAATCGAATATTGCTGTCCAAGTAGAATATAATAACTATATATATATTAGAACAGGAGAAGAAATTGAATTAGTCTACAAAATAATGCATGTCTTTGCTCACATATTCTTCTATGTGACAAAATGATGTCGAAACAAAAAAAATTGGTGTAGACAGACTAAAAGTTCAAAAAAAAGTGCAAAAGAAGAACAAATTTTAAGTCATATCATTGGGCAAGAGTTTTAATTAATTTTGGTCTTTTTTTGAGCTTTTAGTCTGTCCACACCAAGTGATCAAACATTTACCTCTAATTCCGAAAAAAAAAATGTGACTACTTCCATATACAATAAAAAAAATAAGAGGTAAAAATGCTATTGTCTTTAATAAATGCTTATTACAAAAAATATAAAAGTGGAAATATTAAATGATTTTTTTTACTGTTAACCTAGTATTTAAACTATGAAGCAATCAAATCTATTGCTTTTTTTAGTTTCTATCACTTGCTTTACCTTGATTAATATAAAAGTCAGATTTTGAAAATTTTTATCTTACTTTATTTTTGAGAGTCGCGACTGAAAATAATATGCTTGAATAAAGCAACAACTATTATAGCTTCTTTATTTAATACATTAATCATTTTGTATGATTAGTATAAAAATAAAACATTTGTCAGAACTATAAAGATAATACTAATCTATTAATTGTTCTCACATAATGCATGGAATAATTAATCATTCAAAGATATAATCTTACTAAAATATATAATCTTTACCAATTTTTTTTTAAAAAAAATTAAAAGATTCTATCATGATATATAAAACTAAAAAAAAACCCAAACATATACTCTACTGAGAATTGAACGCCGGACCTGGCTTGAAGTAGTAACAGCGCTAACCACTTAACCTAAATATAAGTAAGGTTAAACAAAAATAAAAATGTATATCTCCGACACAAATGTTGGTGCTTGCAAAATATGACATGGTTACTCTATTGCTCTGTCTAATGGTTTTCATGATATGTCTTTGATGTTACCGTACTTTTATAATATATATTATATTAGTAGCTAATTTAGTTGAAAAATTAAAATATTACAATAAGCCCAATATATGTTTCTTTTTTTTTTAAAAATATAGGTTTGAGGATTATGTTGTGCATCTATAAAGAGAGATTACTATGGCAGGACTTTGTGTTAGACAATGGCTGTTTGGTCTAGAACTGGATATTTAAAGATATACTAAAAGTAAGAATTTTTAAAAATTATGTGTGATAGGATGGGGTCATTTTCATTGAAGAAGGTGTTGAAGGTATAAGTATATAGATATCATGTGCATGCGAAAGTAAAAAGACAGTTCTGAGAATAGTAGTATATGTCACTTCAGATATAAAAGAATAGAGTATATGGGTTCCGAGTGCTGAAGTTTGATTATATGGTTATTATTTTTATTTTTATTTTTCAGTAGTGATAAAATAAGAAAGATAGTATGATTGGTATTGTCGACTTTGAAAGTGGTGCGAAGTTGTTGTTGGTACAGGGTTGAAAAAAGAAAACAATAGAGTGGCGATGACTGTCGCCTTTGAACGCAGTGCGAAGTTGTTGTTAGTACAGGGTTGAAAAAAGAAAACAATAGAGTGGCGATGACTGTCGCCTTTGAACGCAGTGCGAAGTTGTTGTTAGTACAGGGTTGAAAAAAGAAAACAATAGAGTGGCGATGACTGTCGCCTTTGAACGCAGTGCGAAGTTGTTGTTAGTACAGGGTTGAAAAAAAGAAAACAATAGAGTGGCGATGACTGTCGCCTTTGAACGCAGTGCGAAGTTGTCGTTAGTACAGGGTTGAAAAAAAGAAAACAATAGAGTGACGATGACTGCCGACTTTGAGAGCAGTGCGAAGTTTATAGGGACACGAAGGCTTGACCAAGGGCTTATTTTTTGTTAGAGTCGCATATACAGTGAACAGTCGTCAAAAATATAAAATAAAGAGTATTTCATTTTTTATTTTATTTTTCAAAAGAGTGCGCTTCCTTTTCGTATTGCGTCGCTTTCGGTCCACTTTGAGTTGCAATACAATATGAATGACGATCCCCAACAGGAATGAAGATCCTCGACTGGGATGGCGGAATGTCGAAAGAAGATTCAAGCCATCGTTAAAAAGATTTTTTTTTTGTTTTGGTTACAGCACAGTGAAGGGTTTTGAATACACAGTCCTCTCTCAACGATTGTAAGTGAGTACCATACGGTCTTTAAACCTTTGTATGGGTAACAGTATCCCTGTCAATGGACCCTGCTATGATTCTTTCACTTGTGGGTACACAAAGGGTGTCTGCACCACCGATCAGTAATACCAGTTTACAAAAAAGTGCGTGCTGTCCGAATTGTCGATTAGAACCCTTAGTTTGTAAAAAGATATAAAAAGAAATAGACAATATCGTATATATTGTACCAGTGCAGCCAATTGACTGGTAGACAGATCCCCAAGTGTGTGCGTGTGTATTAAAGAGGGAAAAAAGGTAGGTGTAAGAGCTCATCTGAAATATACTAACAGATTATATATATATAGTCCTAGAGTAACTTTTAGTATATGAACACAATTCATTTTAAAATAACTTGATAATATATAGATATATATCAACTTGGATTAGACTTATAAATAAAAAGAAAATGAGAGAGAAAGCGAATTAAAGGAAGTAGAGTGTTAATTGATCCATAAATATCCAGTGGATCAAACTGTTATAAAGATGTATTAAACCTCATATTGTTGCTTATAGCTCGGATCGGATTTAATTTTAATCAAAATCTTTTGCAGCCGAAATATATATATTCTTGCACAGAACTATTTAATAAACTGCTTGAGAAGTATATGGTACAAGCCAAAGATATCTATTTGTTTAAGTTGCTGTTTAAATAGTTTTAAATAAGAGTATATTTGAAAAATTGAATGGGAAATAAATGATACAAGCTATAGACATATTTCAGTCGAGTTACTATTTAAATAATCGCAAAGAAATATATAATTATTGAATATAATAGTACCAGCCTTTTTCATTATTAAAATAAAGCCTTTTGGAATTAGATCAAAATAAGATATTGGAATTCATTATATATACTAATATATTAATATGAGATATCAAAAGGCTTGATTATTTGCACGAACAAAGATATAAACCAAAAAATTCAAGCTATTAGCTAACTGTAGAGTATCGTGTATAAAGTATCAAAGTGCTTTGCTTTCTATTTTTGGTTGGTTTATTTTGATTTTCATATGATTCTATACTTTTTTTAGACAAAACAAACAAACTTACTTGGGCGGTTACCCAGGCTTTTTTTTACGATAAACCTGTTATTTCATGCATGACCATCGCATCCGCACTACGGATGCGTTATTGGAATCGCATCCGCACTACGGATGCGTTATTAGAATCGCATCCGCACTACGGATGCGAAAACTTTATCTTTACCTTATTACTTTAGAGAAACCTTTGGATTACCAAATGCATTACCTCAAAACTATAAATGATTATAGTTTTTGCGATTTGTTAGAAAATAAACTTTTCCTCTCCCATATGACCACTGGTTATGGCACCCCCCACCCACAACGCCCCCTTTTCTCTCACACCTCAACTACAGACACAAATATGCCTCGGCTGCATACACACACTTTAAATATATCTATCTCAACTACCCACACATCGACTACCCACACATCGACTACCCACACATCGACTACCCACACATCGACTACCCACACATCGACTACCCACACATCGACTACCCACACACACATCTCTCTTATAATAAATTCATAACCTATATAAACATATAATAAATAATAAATCATATTTTATTTTAGTTATTTAAAGATATTAAAATAAATAAGATATGCGAGTAGGGAGAGACCAAGTTAATTTGTTTGAAGTGAAAGGGACAAGAAGAATGAGAGTACAGAGTATAAGAAATATATGTTTCTTTTTTTTTTAAAAATATAGGTTTGAGGATTATGTTGTGCATCTATAAAGAGAGATTACTATGGCAGGACTTTGTGTTAGACAATGGCTGTTTGGTCTAGAACTGGATATTTAAAGATATACTAAAAGTAAGAATTTTTAAAAATTATGTGTGATAGGATGGGGTCATTTTCATTGAAGAAGGTGTTGAAGGTATAAGTATATAGATATCATGTGCATGCGAAAGTAAAAAGACAGTTCTGAGAATAGTAGTATATGTCACTTCAGATATAAAAGAATAGAGTATATGGGTTCCGAGTGCT